AAATATTAAATAGCATGACATGTCTGGATGAACGAAAAGTAATATTAGCTAATTTTGTATTGGATGGAGAAACTACAAGATGGTGGCATGGGCAGCGTCGAGATAGGCTAGGGAACATACCCAACATGATAATAAGTTGGGAGAAGTTTGTAAAGTTATTCAGATAGTGGTTTGTACCCCTAGCCGTTCAAAGATGGTTGTAGGAAAAACTCATTAAGTTGGTGCAACGAGAGAAAATAGTCATGCATGAAGCAGAGTTTATTGCACTATCAAGATATGCTTCCAAATTGATAGCTACTACAGAAGAGAAGTGTTGCAGATTCCTTTCAGGATTAAAAAATTTGATCAGACAGTCGTTGGTGAATTTAAGGATCGCTGAATACTCAATGTAAGTAGAGTGACGAGACGAGTAGAGATTGATTTTCAAGTTAATCAGAAGCTTAAGAAGACGCAAAAGAGAAAGAATATTGATAAAGGAAAATATGTGGATCAATATAAGGGAATCAATGTGAAGAAGCCCAAATTTAGTTTTGATACATTCAGTGACGACAATTCTCATAATACTGTATTCATTTGTGTCAAATGTGAAAAACACATAAAGGTGAATGTTTGATGGGTTGTCCTACTAGTTATTGGTATCGCCAGCCTGTTCACATAGTTAAATATTATCCTTCACTTGACAAGAAAATCTCAAAATAACAGAAATTAGTTGGATTTCCTTCGTTGAAGACTGCAGGTGGTCAAAAAAGAATAGAGTTTATAGCTTCAGCTCCTACTCAAGTTCAATCAAGAGAGTCAGTTAGAAATCGAGCTAATTCACTTACTAGTAGAGAGTTTGAAACCTGTTGTCGGTGTTAATGGTACTAGGGATTGATGAGTAGTATATTTTATCACATGTTATAGGAGTGTCATTCTAGTGTATTTATTTTTTCAGAGGAGTATGTTGTTGTTATGGTAACTTTGTTTAGATGTGATGTTATCCTATTTTAGTTGATGGGAAATGATAGTTTAGTTATCTAGTATCAAACCTTTATTTTATTGTATTTATTTTATCTTAATGAACGAGATCAAGAGTTCTAATGAGAAGTGATGGGAGGCTTAGAGTAGATTTGTGAATTTCGATGATGAAATTTTTACAAGGATGAGAGATTATAATAACGTGTGTACGCGCGAGTGCGTGTAAAATATATATATATATATATATATAAGTAATAAAAGAAAATGGACTTTATTTCATCTGTGACGATTTGAACTAATCTTCGTCTCGATTGAGTTCCTCTTAGGTATCGAACATTTCATTCGAACTGGAGGGAATGAATTAAAGAGCGAACAAGAGACTGAAAATGAGGGATAAAGAGAGAGAAGGAAGAAGACAAAAAAGACAGAAGAAAAAACTAGAAAGAGAGATAGAGTGGAGAAACCTCGCGCGCGGATGGAAGTGGAGTATCAATTTGAAGCAAAAGAGGAAGAGGATGGCACATGCTGGTCTTGCGCGGGAGGAGGTGCCGCCAAATATGTCGAAGGTGATGACAACGAAGACTCACACGTACAATTCGTGAAGCAAGAAAGACGTACTGGAGGGTGATTAGAGGACCCTAAGCAGAAACTACAATGTAAAGCTTGGGTGTGATCCATTTCATGCCCTTGTGTGTTGGAAGAACATGTTGTGCTCTAAGGGGAAGAGCAAGAACTTGTGCTTGAAGAAGAAGAGGAGTGGAGGCGAAGGCTTGCGAGTTTCTCGCGGGTTTAGAGTTGAAGAGGAGGAAACCGCGGTTTTGTGCTGGAGGAGGCGTCCTCAAGCATCCTACATTCAAGTAGGAGAAAAGGCGGAGGAAGTTCTGTGCGGCAAGAAGGGGAAGTCGTGTCTATGCAGGTTAAGACAGACGACCGAGAGATTAGGGTGAGTAAGAGATTTTAAATTAAGTTAATTAATAAAATAATTTATGTAAATATATATATTGTGTGTTTATTAATTAATGTTAATAGAAAATTTTATTGAATTAGTGCTCAAGGTATAAAATTTCAGCTTGAAGGTGACGAGTAGGTAAAGTGTGCGAGCAAAATAATGAAGGAGATTGATTTGAGCAAACTCCGATAAGATAAGTTTGGGTTTATATTATAATTTAAATAATAAATTTTAAATATATATATTGAATAACAAAATAAAATTAATTAGGATTACATAAAGTAAAATGATGGAAATTAAGATTTTAATAAAATTAATAGATAATTAAAGTGATATAAATAAATTAAATTTTATTAGTATGAATACTCTTGTTTATTATAGACATCAATTTTAGAAGATTCGAGAACAAGGAAAATTCAAGCATAAATAAAACTACATTGAGGTAAGTATTTCTACTCTTAAATTATAGTATAATTTGTGTATCTCGTCTAAGCCAGTTTAATAAATTATTATTCATGTTTGATTAATAAAGTTGATTCCTCTATTCTTAAATTTCATCGGTCATTTCGATATGAATACTTATAGTTTGTCTTAAATTTTATCGGTCATTTCGATATGAATACTTATAGTTTGACATCATAAAATATTTATACATTATAGTAATAATATTATATATTGAGTGATATGAAATTGTGAATGATATAAACTATATAGATTGATTATATGTGTATGCATAAATATGATAGTCACTTATTTGTGGATTGGTGAGGGAGTGCTAAGATATTTATGCACGTAAATGAAAAAAATATTGATATTAAAATATCTTAACTAATACAATTATTTAAACAATGGTTTTGAGACGGCTAGAAAAAATATAAAATGATATAAATATATTAATGATATGGTAAAACATCTTAAATATTATGCAATATCGAAAGTGATCATATTTATAAATTATTCAATATTTTATATTGATTATTAAATGCTTAACTGCCATTATTAAATACCCGAGATGCTAGGGATCGCCATGAAGCGAAACCCTAGCAGAGCGGAATAAGGTTTCTCCCGATGGCCAAACCCTGTGCTAACTCCTTTGGCTTCGTCGTGCTCGACGACGAACAGTTGGCGCATCCGACTTCTCTTGTTTCGAGTGTTTCATCTTCCGTTGGTTTCTTCGTGCTCGCTCATCGTCTTCTTCCTCGGGTCGTTGTTTCTCGCAGCATTTTCTCGCTGTTACGAGGTTTTTCGCGTCTTTCTCGCCGCAGCTACGTTCGTCCTTCGTTGTCCTAATGCCTCGCGCGAGCTTCCTTGCACAATGTCGCGACTTCCTCTGTTGTGGTCTTCGTTCGATCCTTGCTCTGCGTATCGAGCAGCATCCTCTGTTGTGGTCTTCGTTCGATCCTTGCTCTGCATATCGAGCAGCAAAGAAGTTTGACCCACGTTCCACTCTGAGCTCTATGACTACTGTTCCTTCTCAACCACCGACTATTTCAATTTAAATCTTGGGAAAGCTTTTTTGTTGATATGGTTGACTCTATGGGATCAGATCAGGTTTTCTCTCAGGTTTACCACGAATCATTCGAAGACGAGGAGGACTGCAACCTTACAAAGTTCCAATCGGGACATCTCAAAATGGAAATCGTTCGAAGGGCTTTTGAAGATCTTAAACTATTGAGACTCTGGAAGGTTGGTCTCTTTGATGGAAGACATGTGATGATAAAATTATCTAAAGTGGAAGACTATGCCAAAATATTTTCCAAAAATGTTATAACAATAGAGGGAAAATATATGAAACTACTTAAGTGGTCTCCTAAATTTATCCCTAGGCAACAACCACCTATAGTTCCAATCTGGTTTAAACTACCTGGCTTAAAGTTGCACTACTTCAACCACCATGTCATGTACCCTATTGAAGCTGCACTAGAGAGACCTATGAAATTGGATACACCCCCCTTCAACCTAACCAGGCCTTCGGTTCACCCTCCCTGATGTGGACGAAATATGACTTTGGCACTGCCTACAATAGGTATTGGCAGCCAATTATAGATGAACAAAGACCATACTACTGCAATCATGGTAAACTGTTTGGGCACACCTCTGTCAAATGCTTCAGGCTTCACCCACATTTGAGATCGGCGTGTTCCGCCTCACCAATCAGACCAGCAGCTTCCTCCTACTGTTGTTGAGGCAGCTCTCCCTCAGATTTAAAATTCTACAAATTATGTAGCAGATGCTAGCCAAAGTGTCTTGGATCCATATATTGCGAGAGAAGAGAGTACTTATGTTATGGATGAGTGTCAGGATCAAGGTGTGTTGCAGGCTGAGTCAGATCAGCAGTTTACCTCCATCGAAGATCCACCAATTGTTCACACGAGACTTTCTCTGGCAGATGATTGACAAGTTTACAAATCTAGGAAGAAGAAGAAATGAATATCAGATATCAGTAACTCTCAGGATGGTTGTATCATTGTTTCGGGCGGAAGTCCACATCTTAGTATGTTGCTGGACTCCCTCCCTAGATTCAGGGGAAGGAGAAGCGGTGGATCCACCGACTACACCCACCATGATTAGGAGTTGTTTCTTTTGGAAAATACGTTTGTAATCCCTCTGAGTGAGATCTTTGTACTCACTCACTAAAACATTTGTATCCTCTTTTTTTATCAATGAATTTTGCCTTTTCAAATATATATATATATATATATATTTAACTTGATGAGTAGTATTTCGAGCCAAAACGAGTCGAACACAAACGAACAAATCTTTGTTCATCTTGTTCGTGTTCGGCTCGTTAACTTAGCAAACAAGCCGAACATAAGCTTCTTAGCGAGTTGAACACGAGCTGTTCGCGAACAACGAACCATTTTGACAACCCTATTATCTATTGCATGATAGTAACAAAACTCAACCCATGATGCATAAGACCGCAACCTACCCAACCATCAACATGCAGAGCTTTGAAAATTTTAATCTTAAGTCGTCCAACATCAATGTCATCAAATGCATGAATAAAATTAGTACTATTATATCATTGACTAAAAATTAAATAGAATTCAATTAACAAAGTAGAAATGGAAAATTTTAACGTGAAGCAAACCTTTTTAAAGAAAAATGTACTGAAGAAATGGCATTTCAAAAACTTTTTGGGCTCTCTCTCTTCCCTCTCTTTCAAAAGCTCAAGGTAAAGGTCAATAACCTATAAGTTCAAACCAAATATTTTGTTAACAGGATATTGTAAAAACTTTCCAGTAAATATCCTATATTAAAACTACAAGACTGGAAATACAAACAAAATGTGAATTGGAAAATTTACCTCATCATTCAGCCAAGCATTGGGTCTCAAGCGTTGCAAAACCTCCCTCGTAATACTGATATTTGAAGGTTTATGTGTAACAAGAATTTCCCAACTGCAGAAAAGATGAGAAATGTTGAAAGTTAATAAATCAAGCACCTCGAAGTCATTATATGCATTAAAATCAAGGCATACAACAGCCGCACCTATTCCCACATTCGAGAGCATGAACAACCTTTTCATCTTCTTCAACTGTCAGAGGGTGAAAAACTTCATTGAGCTCCTTGAAGTGCTGTGCATTCAAAGCAGTCTTTAGTCCTAGATAAAACTAGCAGTAGCTTTTACATCTATTTCTTAGTTTTTCATAAATTAACTGATCCCGCTAATTATATGCACCAATGAGATTCACTTTACTAATGATTGAAAAAGCACTAGAATGCAGAAAAGCAGAATTATTTATACCATCTTAAAGCAATGATATTTGCATGATTGATATATAAGATATAGCCAAGTTGAAAAGGACAGGCAGACAATGACTAACAATACCATTACTACTCAGGAGCTATTGGAAACAGCTAATCAAGAAAGTGAGACCAAACAGACTTCCCATTCAAAGAACCCAAGAAAGGCTTCTGCACAGAGTACTTGTATTACCTTGGATGTAATGGAATCAAATAAAAAAAGAAAAGAAATCATGGCTCCAAAAAATCAAATCAGATTCTTTCAAATCAGTGGAGATTTTCAATAAATCAATTTTTAAACTAATTATGAAGCAATCGCCAACAACTTCCCATCTATAGCAATCTAGCAATCTATGGACAACTTTTCAACAATAGTAATCAGTAATCCTTGGACAAAAATTATTCATTTACGTCAATAAATAAATTCATGGACAAGAGCTTTCTAGATATATTAGGCAGTTAGTACTGGATTGTAAAAATTTGTTTTTTTTTCTCCACCTACTCATTACAGCTTCTTAACAATTTTACACATAACTAAGGAATAAAATTCAGTCACAAAATCTCACATTCTTTACTCTCATCACTTTTTATTTTAATTTTAAAGATAATTTGAAAGACATTAAAGTTCTATCTGACAATTTCTTCACCAGCACTGAAAATTGGTCTTTGTCCAACAAGAATGCTAAAAACATATGTGAAGGATCTTTTTAAAGTGAAATTGGAGAAAAAAACTACAAAGATGTTAGTTGTCAAGAAGTTGGCAAGTCCAATGTTGAAAATCAACCTCAAAATGAAGAATTCATATCCAAAACATAAAAAATCCATAATGAAACAAAGGACAATAAAATTTCAAAAAAATCAACAACAAACATAAATCTCAACAACTCTCTCTCCTCCTGATACTAGCCAACGTGGATGGCAAAACCTAAGACACTCAACTATTATTCTAATAGAAACGATGTCATAATAAATTTGGTTGCTCTAAAAGGTCAATTCCATGATGCCCTCATTGAAAACAATAAAAAAAAATTAGTAGCTGGAGGGTAAACATTTTTTTCCCCCAAAGGAATGGCCAGAGGCTATTATACGAGCCTCCAGTCACTCCGTGCCTAACAATTCGAGTACCGCCTCCTTAAGGCCAACTGTGCCCGAGGAGATTTGAATCCCCGACCTGAAGGGTCTTATACCGAGGACTTCAAACAACAGACCGGGACACGCAGCATAAACTTATCATCTGATAATATGATTGTAAACAAAAATTGCATCCACAATTACAGCTCATACCATAAGTTTTTGTCATTTGCCCAAGAAATCTATAACTTGACTCTATGCATATAGGTAGGGCCTAACTGAGATTGTAATTTATTATGAATAAGCAAACTCACTTGAGACAAAAATTTGTGTTGCTAAATTCTCATATAATATGTCATTTTCAAGATTTGAACTTAGGGTGGATGATTAAAGTGTGTAGGTGTTAAGAGTTCTACCTTCTAAAAAACAATCCTTCAAGGTTCAGGATCAAACAATAGGTTGGGTATCACCATAGGTTGGGTGTCACCAAAATGGTCCACTAATAATTTCAAAAGCATTCCAAGTAATGATATGGTGATGTTTGACTTGAGCGAAATTGCTTAAGACGCTAACTTTAATTACCTTGAAAAACTAGTTTATTTAATATTTGCCAACAAAAATTAAAAAGATTTCAGTATTAAATTTGTCAATTACTATAGCATACTCATTATCTTATCTCAATCAAACCTACAAGTCTTTTAAACCATTTGCTTTAATCCATAATGAAGTGTAATAAAATTTAGAAACCAACAAAAAAATCTCTAGACCAAAATAGTTTAGTTACAATCATACCCATCTCACTTGGGTTTTCTTAATGAAAGAAAAATCTAATTCAATATTATGGTCTGCACTCACTTTCAATTCAATATCCACATCCTTAAGATTGACAATACCAAAGAATAACTAAAATCGAACTTAAAAATTTATATTCTACATCAAGAATAATCCACCAAAGCTTTTATGACAACACCCCTCAATAAAATGATATTGTTTACAAGAAAAATAGACACATCTCATACAAGGATGCATCATCAGTGCTCCTTGTAATGTTCTCAAGTAGGGGTGCAAACAAGCCAAGTTCGAGTGAGCTCAATGATTGTTTATAGTCAACTCGTTTAAAATTACTTTTGTTTGTGTTGAGATTTAGAATAGAGTAGCATATATTATTGATGGAAGGAGGGGTATTAACCCCAATTACAATGGAATACAATAAAGGAAAGAAATAAAACTAAATAAAACAAATAGGAAAGAAATAATGATAGAATATAAAGGGAATAAAAACTAATAACATATAATAAATATAATACTCCCCCTCAATTTGAAGCATAGTATGACAGTCATGTTCAACTTGGATTTGAAGTCATCGAATAAAGGACGAGAAAGATTATTGGTGATGATGTCCGCTAGTTGACTACTGCATTACAGAAAAGGAACACAAATTTCCCCCGACTCAATCTTTTCTTTAATGAAGTAACTGTCAATCTCCACATATTTGGTACAATTATGTTAGACTGAATTGTGAGCAACATTGATTGTGGCCTTATTATCACAGAATAACTACAACGGGACGTAGATTGGCATACAAAGTTCGTGGAGCAAGATGCGTAACCAAAGAACTTCATAGATTCTTAAGAACATGAATCAGAATTCAACTTCATCACTGTTACGGGCAATCATAGACTGTTTTTTGTTTTTCCACGTGCCAAGATTGCCCCATACAAATGAACAATGCCCTGAGATGGAACGTCGATCATGAACCGATCCAACCCAATCAGTATTTGTATAAACAATAATAGACTGAGAAGTGAGACGGAAGAAAAACAAACCTAAGCCCCACATACCTTTTAAATAGTGGAAAAAGTAGTGAACAACTTGGAGATGGTGCTCATAAGGGTCATGCATGAATTGACTCACTATACCAATTGCATGACATATGTTGGGGCAAGTACGGGCGATGTAGATGAGTTTTCCCTCGAGACGCCGGTAATGAGTCTTGCTGACACATACAACATTTGAAATGTTAGTTAATTTTTCATTGGAATCAATAGAGACGACAACAGGTTTGTATAGAAGAAGATTGTCTTCGTTAAAAGATCAATCACATTTGCGTTGTGATAGGCAAATGCACTGAGACGACCGAGCCACTTCCATGACTTAGAAGTATAGAAGAGATCCCAAGTCCTTCATTTCAAAGAGCATAACATAAATGTCTTTTAAGGACTCCAATGTTGGGAGATCTTCATCTGTAAGAATAACATCGTCAACATAGACAATAAGGATGTTGTGTATATGGAGCCAAAGCAACCCACGATCTGGGCGCCGATGCGCTCACATTTGGGAGCTGACAAAGAGGGAGGGCACCTTTACGCCCCTTTGGGCGCTCAAGTGCCCATGATTTTTGCGCAGACAAAGGAGTCGGCGCTTAGGCGCGATCCTGACAGCTTGGCGCTTAGCCGCCAAATATGGGCGCCTAAGTGCACGATGCAATTACTCCGCTTTCTGGGTTTTTAAACCAATTTCGAGTTGCATAATGACAGGTTGGGTGTAGGTCTTCCTTTGGTGTGATTCAATAGGTTCCAGATAAAAGTGAGAAGAGTTGAAGAAGAGGATTGCTAGAATCTCGGCGCGTGTTTCGTGTCAGATCGGAGAAGAAAGATTGTGGAACATCCAGTAAGTTTCTTCATGTGAGTGTGGAGAAGAAACTTGTGGGAGTCCTCTGTAAAACTAATTGATTTTCTTAGTGAATTTGTGGTGGTATGGCTCCGTGATTTTTTCTCATTCTCGGGTTTTTCGGTTCAAGCTGTAGGATAAGGGAAAGTGTCAGAGAACTCAAGCTCCCCCTCACTTGAGGTCAAACTAGAAAAATAGTGAACACTTTCAAAGAAAGAGACATCAACACTTACAAATATTTTATTGGTGGTAGAATCAAGACACCAATAACCGTTTTGAGTTGCGGGGTACCTAAGGAATAAATATTTTATGGATCTAAGATCAAGTTTACTCCGAGTGTGGACAGTATTTCGAATAAAGATAGTGCACCCAAAAATCTTGGGATCTAATGTGGAAAATACCCGATTGATAAGGAAGCATGACATCAGAACGACTAACGGGTTCAAAATTTGTGAATTTTGGAAGGAACTTTATTTATGAGATATAAGGCAGTCATAATGACATTGTTCCAAAAACATTTCGGGGTATTAGATTGAAATATAATGAAGCAAGCAACATCGAGGATGTCACAGTTTTTCCTCTCTACTATCTCATTTTGTTGATAAGGGTCAGTACATGGATTGTGGTGGAGGATGTCCTTACCAAGAATTCACCCAACAAAGGATTAAAAAAACTCATGACCATTATTGGTACGAATGACCTGAATATGAGTTTTGAATTGAGTTAAAACAAAGGTATAGAAGTTTTGAAAGGTGACAACAACTTCGAATTTGTCTTTTAAAATATAGATCCACGTCATTAGAATATGGTCATCAATCAAGGTCAGGAAGTGTGAGAGGGTCTCAAAGTCACTATGAATGAGGGAGAAAAGAACAAAAGGTGCAAAAGTGTGGGGTGGAAAATGGAGCTGATGATATTTAGCCAACTGATATGTCTCACAATTGAAGTTAGAAAGATTTTTATTAGAAAACATCAAATGATATAGATTTTTTAAATGTTGAAAATTATGGTGACCCAAATGACAATGCAACAACATAATGAAACATTCAATGACTCGAAATAAGCTGCAACTCGTGAGAGGTGTATCCTC